AATTAAATAAAAAAAATGAATTACTAAAACTAAAGTATAATAAATTACTAGAAACTGACTTGTCAAATCCTGTCTTTTACATGATCTAAAAAGCTACCTATTATATAAAATACATTACATAATAAGATAAAACTAATATATCATATATGTCTAATTTATCATATATAACAAATATATTTAATATATCAAATATGTTTAATTTATCAATTATATCTAATATATCGATCATGTTAGATATGTCATATTTAAAGATGGATACCATAATTAAGAAGTTGCAACTCGGTAAGTTATAACTTGAGTTACAACTTAGTTGTAACTCCTTGTAAATTTAGTTTATTATAAAAATTCATAAATAGTTGCAACTCAAAGTATTGCAACTTAAGTTGCAACTAGTTAAAATTTTAAAATAATTATGGAAATTATCTTTAGTCATATTGTTATCTTATAATACTAATGACTGAAAATTGGTATTAACGTAAGATTAATAAAGGATTAAGCTTAAGATTTTACAGAATGATAGTTTATAAAGAGCTCTATAAGTTTGTACAAACAAAATATATTTCAAAGTCAAAGTATAATTATAGGTTAAGTAATTAGAATTTTATTATAGAAAAAAATTTGTTATAAGTGTATTTATTAGCATACAAATGTGTTAAATGTGTTTAGTAATTATCTTATTGTTGATAAAATTAATGTAAATTCTCTCTAAAGATCCATTTTTATTCTTGTTAATAAAGTTCTAAAGTTATTCTATTTATAAGAAATTTGATAATATAAAAATAATAAATATAAAAATAAATAATAAAATAAATTTTAGCATATTTGTTATTTATATTGTATTCAGTATATATTAAAGATAGTGCAGCAATTGATTTCAAATTTACAAAATGTCGCAACATAAGCTAAAATTAGTTGCAACATATATAGGTTAAAACTAATTGCAACGTAAGTTACAATATTAAAAGTTGCAACATATTAATTACAATTCCCATCTTTAGTATATATGATATATTTAATATATCTAGCAGATTTAGCATATTTCATATATCTGCTAGGATTAGCAGATTTAGCAGATTTCAACTATCTACTAGAATTAACAGAATTGGCAGATTATATAGCAAAGTAAAAATCATATAATCTATTATATCAGGTGACCTTTAATTACTTATTACAATATATATCAGAAATGTCAGGTATATCAGATTTATTAGATTGGTTGATCATCTGCATTACATATATTGTATAATATTTATCTGTTTATAGTACTATATTATATTTATTATTATAAATCAGAATTATTCATTTTTAAAAAAAAAATATAATAAGAGATCAATCAAATCAAATTTGATAATTTAGATTTGAACTGATTAATCTTCTATTTAGTATTTGATTATAAATAATTAAATAATATAATTGTAAAAAAAATATAAGATATTTTTCTGTTTTTAAAATATTATCTGATTTTTGTATAAAACTTAAAAAAAACAAAAAATAAGCATTATCAAATTTGAAAATATTTTATTATATTTTATATTTTACTTTTTATTCTTACAATTTATTTTGTTTTATTATTTTCTGATTTATATAATTCATCAGTTAAATCACTATTTATATCTATAATTTTCTTTTATTTTCACTGATTCCTTCTCTTTTTATTTTGTCTTAATAAATTATCTTTTAATCTATCTATTACATTACTAATATCATAATTTTTAAATGATTTATAATCATTTCTTTTAGAATTTCTGCTTAAATCTCAAGTATTTATTTATAAATAATATTATAGTACAGTAAAAGATAAAATTTTTCAGAAAATTTCTTATATTATTATTATTTAGTCAATAAATAAATTATATAATATATTAAAATATGTTGTTTATATTTATATTTATAATTTGTCATGAGAAATATTTTTTCTTAATATAATAATCTTTTATTAATCAATTTTTAAGATATTATTAATATATAATTCTTACAAATTATAATTATTAGATAGGATATATAAATGTTTATTCTTTTAATTACATAATAATCTTTAATATTTTACAAGTTTACTTAAGATTAATTTCCAAAATTATTAGTCTGAAGCATAGCAAAGGACTATATAATTCTATGCGTTATTTGTCTCAAATATCTGCATTCTCTCACTTAATAATTAAGTTAATAAGTACAAATTCTAAATTAGTAAAAATATCACATTATTTATTTACATTTTATACTAAACTCAAATAAATAAAACAAATAAACTATACAGCTAAACTATAACCGTTAAACCCAAAGTGTATAATGTATATTGATTTATTTTTTAATCAAATTAAAAATTTAAAATAATCACATAATATATAATTTATCATTTTTTATTGGTTAAGATCCTAGCTTCAGACTTAATAACGGCAAGCCATTTTCTTAGTTTATATAATTATTTAATTCACAATATTTTAAAGTTTACTAAGTAATTATAATCTTAAATAAAAATGTTTAAGATTTGTTAGATTTATCAAATTTGTTAATCATTTGCATTATATATATCATGTAATATTTATTTATTCATAATATATACTATAAAATTTTTATAAATATACTAGATGATTTTGATAAGTTAGTCAAATAAAAAAAAAGAATATTAAATTTAATTTGATATTTATCATGATTCTACCTTTCAAAGTTAATTATTTTAATTTGTTAACTTAATTTTTTAATTATTTTGCATAAGTTTTAAATTTTTAATAAGTAAATAATAAATAAATATATTAATAATATACTTTTGAAAAATCTACTTAATCTAGTGATGGCAAATTATAAGGTCATTTGACTTGAAATTTATAATAACAATAAGGTCATTTCAAGAATATTTCAAGATCTTTTGCCAATCTTGACTTAATCTATCATAATGAATATATTTACAAAATTTTATATATAACTGACATTTATTTATTATATAATAAACAAAAATATTTTTCTGAAAACATTTATTTTTTACTATAAGCTTTCTTAAATTTTTATCTTTAATAAGAAAATTGATTTGAATTTATCCAAATATTTCACTTTTTATGAAGTCTATTTTTAAATAACTTATTAAAACAGATATCAAGTAATTATATAATAAAGTAAAACATTAAAAATAATTATCAAATTAGTATTTTTATTAAGTGCTTTTTTTATAGCATCTGTTTTATGACTTTTAAAACTATTTATAACAAGAAAGGATTCTTATTTGTTGATTTTATTTTCTTTTTTAGTCTTTTTCTTCAAAACTTATCAAATCAATTTTTTATTTATTTATCCTTTTAGATGTATCAATTCAATAATCCTAGAAGATAATTTTTTAGTATTTGCTTATTTTAAAAATAATAATTAGTAATAATTTAATATCATTTGCAAAAACTATGAGAATACATATAAAATGATTTAGAAAACTTTTAGTTGATTTTTGTTTTATATTATAAAAAAATTCACTCCTATAAAAAATTATAAAACTAACATTTTTGAAGTAAGAAAATTTTTACTATTTGAATAAAATTTTAATAAACTCTTATTAAAATTTTTCATTTGAATTTTAGCTATTTTAAAAATAATAGTAAAACTATTTTTTTCAAAATTCTATAAACTATATTTTTAAACTATTTTTAATTTTAGAATACTATGTTTTTCTTTCTATATTAATATGTCAAATATTTTTTGTTAACTTGAGTTTATTTTCCTGTTTTTTTATGTAAAATCATAAAGTGATCAATAGAAAATTTATATGCAGCTACTTTTTAATTATGATATTTTACATATTGTAAAATCTTAACCTTTTTACTTACAGAATATAATGACATTAATCTTTTAACATCTTATATATAAAATAGGTTTATCATTTTATGAAATACAAAAAAAAATTCAGAATACAAAAAAATTCTTTTTTTTAATATAAAAAAAATTACAAATTTAAGCACTATTTCAAACTTTATTAAAAATTATCCTTTAAAATATAATGCTTAAAAACAAAAGAATATGATAATTAGATTGATAAATTAAATTATATATACAATTTTATTGTTTTATAAAATAATTTATAAATTTCTAATTTTTATAAATAAATATCTTAATATATTTTATTAAACATAAGTTTTACAATAAAAAGGGAAAAACTGTTAGAATAAATCAATTTTATTTTTATATATCAAATATGATTTTTAAGTTAAAATATATTTAATTTTAGCATTAATTTATTTTTTATTTTTTTTTTTAGTAGTTTTCATCCTTTCTATTACAAAGGTTTCATATTATAATCAGACCTATTTATAATCATCACTTTTGATTACATAGTAATTTTTTTAAAGTTAAATGGATATTTATTAACATTTGCTTTGCTTATAGCATTTTTATCAGATGATGTTGTGAATACAAAATTTTTTTTTAGCAATTACAGAATAATAATAACTTTACTTCAGCTATTTCATCACAAGTAAATAATATTTAAGGGGAGTTAGATAGATATTTAGTATTATTTAAAATATATGCTTATAAAAAGGTTTTACTATATTTTGATAATAAAGAGGTATTTAATCATAACAGATTTTAATATAAGCATAGTTATAAAAGTTTTTATATAATATGATTATAGATATGTGATTAAGAAGGATCTAACTGTATTATTTATTATTTCTATCATCTTTATTATATTTTTTTTATATATATAAATTATAAAATAATTTATTAAAATTTTTTATTTTGATTATTAAGCTAATTTTATATACATTATTATTGAGATTAGTGAGATTAGGATTTTTTCAACTACCTTATAATTATCATAATCAGAAAAATATTAAATTAATAAAAATGATTTATTCATTTATTTTTCAAGTTGATTCTGAGTCCCAATAATTATTTTGTGATGTTACCATATTAGGCATATCGGGCAGGACCATAACACTGGTCGGAATTAATAGAGCACTAAAACAATAAAAAAAAATCAAAATCAATCTACGCGTTGATGTCGCTAAATTATAATTAGCATGGCTTCTGATTCCACTGAACCACCAAAGTACACTTACACTCCGTTTCCACAAACGACAACTGTACATCCTCTTCGACCTTACCATGTACCCCAAGATACCGATCATTATTATACACCTTTTGGTAATGCTACTAATTCAAAAGAAGATCGAAATGACGACATGACAGATATAGATTCTCAAAGTACATTAAAAGAATTGGCAAGCTTCGGTTTCGTAAAATATCTTAGCGTAGCTATTTCACATCCATTTGAAGTTGCAAAGACTTTATTACAAGTTCAATATTTGCCAAACGAAGATGTTATAGATATACCGGCGGTCACAGACAATATTAATGGCTCGGAGGAAGATGTAATTGTAATTCAATGTCTTTCAATGAATCTCGTTAATGCATCAACTTAATATCAATTATTTATAAATATAGCCTGATGAGGATGAGGACGATGAATATAGTGCTCGAGCATCACAATCTCTTGATCCAAGTTCTCCTGGATTTCGTAAAACTAAATCATCAGATGGTCAAGGTTATCTAACTACCAATATTTATGATGAATCAACGCGACCAAAATATATGCTGCCTCCATTGAAAAATGGTGTATGGTCAACTTTAGGGACATTGAGAAATCATAATACAGAGGGATTTGGTTCACTATGGAAAGGTAAACTTCATGTTTCACACTTTTGATTCCACATTAAAATTATCTTATATTTAAGAGTTTAACTTCTAATTTGCTGGGAATTTTTAACCCAAAGGTCAATTTGTGAGTTGGCTTTACGATATGGGTCATCTTTTCCTCCAACCTACACTGGAGAGTGCATTGAACGATGCTTTCGATCTGTATGATGATACGATTCCATTGGTCTATTTGGATCATGTCGGACCCAACATTGCCACATTAGTAACCAGCCATCTCGTTGTTGGAGTACTTTTAAGTCCTTTAGAAGTTGTGCAAACGAGGTAAGTTCGAAGGTTTACCTTCTTTTAGGTAATGTTTTGGTATTAACTTTTTTTATGTACTTTTGTTAGGCTCATTGTTCAAACATCCTCGCCAATTCATAAAAAATATAGTGGGACATTTGATTGTTTACGCAAAATGATTAGAGAAGAAGGGTTATCTTCATTGTATTGGTCGCATAACCTTCTACCATCAATTATCTATCATACAATCTGTCCATTATTGGAATGTACGGTACCATTGATTATAGATCGTGTATTTCATATTTCTCCATCCGATTCTCCATTTTTATATGGACTTGCACAACTTGGACTTGACACACTTCAGTTGCTTATAACTTTACCTCTTCAAACTATTCGTAAAAGATTACAATGTCAAATTCGATCTCGTACTCCGGAAAAATCATTTGAAACAATTGTTCAGACGCGTAAAGCTCCATATGTTGGCATGTTAGACGCGATTTATAGAATAATTATCGAGGAAGGTATCAGTCAAAGATATGTACCCATGCGTGGAATCTCACAGAAACGACGTAGACAGCGTGGTTTATTAGATAGTTATGGAATTCGAGGATTATATCATGGATTCTACATTCATTTCACTACCAATTTGATGACATTTTTATTTCGAGCTATGAATGGCGTTGAAGATGAATTTGAAAAATATTAAAAAAAATATTTATTTATTGATTGATGACTAATTGTATTGTTGATTTATTATTTTAATATATATTTTATACGTTTCAAAAAAAAAAAAAAGGAAAAAGTTATTTAATGATTTATTTCCAAAGAAAAAAAGAATCAATTTTCACAAAAAATATCTATACAAATCTATAAGTAAAAAAAAATCTCCCCAAAAAGGATAGTTTTATACAACAATTGTGAACAAATTATGTACATAAAATGATAATTTTACAAGTCATCATTAATAACCAAAACTATTGGCACATGATCACTTGCCCCGTACGCATTCAACCGAATTTCACTTTCGACGACTCTGTTCAAGATTCTTTCGCTAACAACATGATAATCTAAACGCCAACCAAGATTTTTAGAACGACATTGGAAACGATAAGAGAAATAAGTATAATGACATAAAGTGTCCGGATGGAAATGTCTCCAAGTATCTACAAATTTGTTCTTTCCTCCATTCAAGATTCTTTCGAAATCCTTCCGTTCTTCTGGAGTAAAACCTGGAGTCCTATAATAATAATAAATGACAATATGTAAAATCATATAAAGGTTTTAATTTGCACGAAGCCACAGTTTGGATTTTGATTTTATTTTACTTCTTATTAGTATCAGGTCTCGCTAAGTCGATTGGTTTATGTGCGACATTCAAGTCTCTACAAAATATTAAATTATTACTAATGATTAAAATTCAAGCATGATATATTAACTTATCTAAATAACTACCCAGCCCATATAATTGGCTTTTTTGCATCAAGTTGTCTCAAATATTTTTCCATAGCTTCATCCCAAATGATTTTTTCTTTCAACCTTACGAGTTTTTCTCCCGCATTAGGAACATAACATGCTACATAATATAATGTCTCAAATTCTAACGTAATAACTCGTCCCTCAGTAACTTTGGGATTGGGGTGTGTAGAAAGACCAAAAGAAACAGAAATTGGGTTGATCTTTGAAAAAACAACTGTTCCAGCTAAAGAAATGAAATGTCGCATTAAATTTTTTGAGATGAATTTATTCGTGCATCATTCCTATCTTACCGTATCCTTTTTTCCCATCTTCAAAACCCCACCAACGATATTTATATTTCTTATGATCAACAACTCCTTCAACTTCTGTATTGACTTTCGTCTCTTGAAGACACAAAATATCAGCGTCCTCTGCTTCAACATAAGTTCTGAAACTCTATTAAATCATTAATAAAAAATTCAAAACTCAAAATTATTGCTAATAAAGGATGTTCAAAATAATACTAAAATATCAAACGCGATTAAACCTTTTTCAAAGCAGCTTTTAACCCGCTAACGTTCCAAGAAGCGAATTTTATAGTTCCCTCTCGCTTTTCAAAAGATAAACTTTCTGGCATTTTTGTGTTAGTAGGTATTGGAGTTGACTCTTCTTTCTTAGCTTTTTTAGTTGGACGCGTACTACCTTCTGGAGAACTATCACTATGACTATTACTTCCTTCCTCTTCCAGTCCCAAAGTTTTTTCGCTTATATCAGTACTTTGATGTTTTCGTGTCATGTTTCTAACTAATGGTCGAAGTATGGATTGAACTAACGCGATATTTAAATGATTAGAATGATTATAGTAAATTATCATTGATGATGTGGTTGCCTTTTATGAGTAGGACGACGTTAACTTAATTTCTGCTATTACGTTGATGTCACGTGCACGAGCACGTGATTAAATAACTAATAGATGTTTTCATTTTTACTATGGTGCCTGAAGTCTATACTCAAAAATTAAAATAATAAAATTGTAACACTTACAAGTATTTCAGCACTTTAAAAAATTAAAATTTTATAAAATAAACCAGTAACTTTATTCTTTAAGATGAAACTCATATGAATTTTATATGATCAGACCCAAAAATTGAATCACGTAAATGTGCCAGAGCACTATGATAATTTAGCATTTATTATAATGCCAGCCCGAATTATAATTAATAAACTCGGAACCATTGATATACTCTTTCAATTCTAATTTTGATTTTTGATTTAAATAAGGCTATACTTAAATTTATATAAAATAAAGAAACAACAGCAAGTACATGTATATTATTTAGAAAATAAGACTATTATATATTTCAGAAAACCCTTTACAAAAAAATTGTTGAATTGGAAAACCAGGTATATTTCTGAAGAAATCTTTTTGAGAAGAAGGCTTTCATTATTAATAACATAACTATTTTCATTTACTAGAATTGTTATTTGAATAAGAATATAATGAAAGTATTAAGAGGTTAACTGGATTAAATTTGTTATCAGCATGAGAAATGGGTTATCATCACATGTAGAAGCATCTTTACAGAAGCCTCACCAATCTCTAGATCTAAAGTTTCAACAAGTAAAAAATCAAGTTCACCAATTTCTGAATCTAAAGCTTTGACAAATGAAAAAAGCAAGTTCCTCAGATATTTATTTTATTATAATATTAAGTTTATATATAAAAAATTGCATAAAACGTTTTATTCTTTTAGTAACACAATCTAACTTATTAAGAATACCAAAATCTACATCTCATAATTTATCTAAAATACCATCAAGACTAGTAACATCATCAACTATCAAAATACTTTCATTTTTAAATCTGTAATTCTAACTATTTTTTTTTTTCATAAAATGCGAATATAATTAATATTATTATCAATTATAGTAAAATGTCAAATAAGCAATAAGGATAAGATTTTTTCATTAGTATAGAATGAAATTTTTAATGATTTATTAAATTTATATTTTTTATAGTATTATCTTACAATAATAACAACTGAAAATTAGTATTAACGCAAGATTAACAAAGAATTTAGTTTTAAGATTTATAATTCAACATTTATGAAGAGCTTTTAAAGGTTTATCAATTAAATATATTGAAAGACAAAGTATAATTATGATTCGAGTAAGTTAGAGTTTTATTAAATTAAAGAATTATTACAAGTGTATTTGTTAGTATACATATTTAGTAATTATCTTATTAGCGATAAAACTAAGTAAATTCTCTAGATCATGATTATGTTTCCCCTTTTTCATAAAGTTATAAAGCTACTCTTTTTATAAGAAACTTGATAATATAAATAAATAAAATAATAAATAATAAAAATATAACTAAAAATAAGAAATGTAATAATTGGTCTTTTATCATATATCTATTATATATCACATATATAGCAGATTTAGTCAATCTGGCAGATTTTGAGAATCTGCCAGTTTTAGCTGATTGGATAGATTTTAAGAATCTGCCAATTTTAGTTGATTGAATAGATTTTATGACAAAGTAAAAATCATGTGATCTATAAGATAACTTTTTAGTTTATTACAATAGCATATAAGTACGATATAGTAGAATATAAAAGCAAATAAAATTCAAAATAAAAGATCATTTTGGAATCAAATCTTTATTATTTTTTAAAATATTAGAGTAGATCTCATTTAAAGGAAATAATAAAGCATAAAAAAAATCATGCCTTACCAACTCTTAAATTATAATATCATTAGTCGAAATAATTTTTTTTTTAATTATTAACAATGCAATCTAGCCGCAGTATTTTATTTGTATTGTAAATTGAAGAAAAAAATCTAAAAAAAATACTAAAATATGCAACTTACCCCCTGTGATTCTATTTCAAATTCATTTGAGTCAACTGATTACTGCTACTCCCGAAGGGGATGGAAATAAAGTGTCAGAAAGCATCTAATTTCTAAATGTCTTTCAGTCTCTAACTTCTCTCAAAAGAAAATTCTAACACTAAAAATAATACCCAAAGTAGGGAACTGATACAAATAAAAATTTACAAATAACCAAAAATAACTTTATAAGTCCTAGTTAAAGTCCAGTCAATTTCAGCTTAAAATGACCACCTGGCAGAAGAAAATACATCCAAGTAATTAGGTCTAAATAAAGGCTCTTCATACTTATAGATTCATAAGTATAGAAAAAATATCGCATGGAATCTACTACAAAAAATCTACAAGATATCTACAGGTAGTAACCTATACCCTTTACCTGATTACCAGAAAAGCATGAATCTAGATGAAGTAAACTTACACTGAGTAAGGATCTTGACAACAAAAGTCTCCTGTTGTTCTATTTCAAATCCGTTTGAGCCAACAAAAATACCAGACCAAGTGGTAGTTACTAGGGTTCCTCAAAATCGAATCAAATCAAATATTTAAGCAATTTGAATTTGATTTGATTTTTTCAATCAAATCAAATCAAATCAAATCAAATTGAACTCAAATATTTGATCAAATCAATTTGAATCAATTTGAATTTAATCAAATTGAATCAAATTGAATCAAATATTTGTCAAATCAAATCAAATCAAATCAAATATTTGATTGAATCAAATTGAATCAAATCAAATATAAA